ATTGGAAATAAGAGTCTCATGGACTTTGCTGCCTGGTCTGGCTTTGAACTGTGATCCTCAGATCTCAGCTTCCTGAGAAGCTAAGATTATAAGCATGAGCCTCCAGCACCCTGCTCCTTTCAGGTTTTTGTTTTTGTTTTGCTAGTTTTCATTAGAGATAACTGAGTCTCAAAGTTTGTCTGGTTGGGTGGGTTTTGAACCTTAATCTTCAGGTTTCAGCTTCCTGAGTAGTTAGGATTACAGGTGTGAGCCACTGGCGTCTGGCCACTGGCCTGGAATGTTTTGAGGAAAACTGGTAGGACTTTTATGGGAGTAACTGGAGCCTGATGCACATGTTTCTCTCCTTTCTCCTTGCAGCCTGGGCAGAGAAACGTGGGTACAAGACAGCCAAAGCAGCTCGCAACGATGTATACAGAGCGGCTAACAGCCTCCTGAGGCTGGCAGTGGATGGCCGCCTCAGCTTATGTTTCTATCCCCCGGGCTACAGCGAACAGAAAGGTCAGAACCCAGATATTCTTCCCAGCCCCTGCTACAGGATAGGCAAAAGAATGTGGGCTTTGGTGACCAGACAAGTGAGGGTTAAATGTGGGTCTGTACCTGCTGGCCAGTTGTGTTTATTAACATCACTAAGATGTTTTCCAGATTTACACTCCTACCTAAAGGTGGTTGTGAGGTTTAGTATGAACAAGCTTCCACTCAGTGCTCTTCATGTAAGGTTAGATGAATGAATGAATTGAATGAATGAATGCCAGCTACTAGAATCATTGTTTTTTGCAGTCTTTGCCTTTTCCTCATCTTTCTCTGGTTTTAATCCCTTGCTCAAAAATCTCCTCCATTTTCTCTCTTCTTTATGTTCCCCAGGCACCTGGGAGTCTCATCCAGAGACCACGGAGCTGGTGGTTTTACAGGGCAGGGTGGGGCCAGCTGGTGACGAGGAAGAGGAGGAGGAGGAAGAGCTGAGCAGCTCCTGTGAGGAGGAAGGAGAGGAGGACCGAGATGCTGATGAGGAGGGAGAAGGGGATGAAGACACCCCAACCTCAGCTCCAGGGTCCTGCCTGGCTGCCCGAAACCCTTATGCCCTGCTGGGTGAGGATGAGTGCTGAGTCCCCATCTAGAGCCATCTTTCCTCCCAATATCTTTGCTTTTGGACTGATCTGGAGGCATCTCCCGTCTGCCACCCCGATTGTGAATAAAGATTGTCTGCTTTGTAGCCCCTTCCCAAGGTGACGTGAGCTTGACAGCGGCTGTTTTGGGCTGATAGCTATGGGAGGTTTCTCTCCTCTTCTCCCTTCTTTTCTCGTGCCTTCTCTTTTCAAGGCAAGTTCTTAACTCATTGGGTTTTTAGCCACTCTCTGCTGCGCACCCCATACATGAGGACAGGAGGCCTCAATCCATACCTCCTGTGTAGTTTGTGTCCTCCACTCTGATTTGAAGAGTAGCCCTTTGTGCCCCCTGTTGGCACACCTGGGATATACCAGGATCTTCTGGAAGGAGTCTTCAGAGCTGAGGTGTCCAAATGAAGTTTTTTGGTTTTTTTGGGGGGGGTCGGTCGTGGGGCTTGAACTCTGGGCTTGGGTGCTGTCCCTGCGCTCTTCAGCTGAAGGCGAGCACTCTACTGCTTAAGCCACAGCACCACTTCCAGTTTTCAAGTGGTTTAATGGAGATAAGAATCTGCAGGACTTTCCTGTCCAGGCTGGCTTTGAACCGCGATCCTCAGATCTCAGCCTCCTGAATAGCTAGGATTACAGGCATGAGCCACCAGTACCCGGCTCAAATGAAGTTTCTGTAGGAAATTTTCAAATTCAATGAATATTCATTGAGAGTCTTCTTACTATGTGCCTAGAAGGTGATAAACACTGAATGTGTAAAGATGCACAAGCAAGGCTTGGCCAAAGCTTATAGTCAAGACCCCATAGGGCACCCAAGGTGAGGTATAATGTTTTCTATGTCCAGAGTCTCATACAATATAATTCTAGGACTTCTTATTTATATAAATTTTTAGTTACGACCCACCTGCTTGTAAGAATGTTAAATGTGCATGAGTAGAGACTTAATAGCACACAACTTGTGTGAACATTTATGATTTGCACAGAACAGCCCTTTAAGGGCTCTGTTAAGTTTCATTATTTACAGGTCTTGGAGCTAGTGGACAGCACAGAACCAACTTCCTATGACCTATTTAGTCTGGTCTGGAGTTAGAGTAAAGATGACCCACTGTAGAACCTGAGCCAGAAGTTGGCAGGTAGCACCACCTTAGAGGGGCATCTGTATTTCAGCAAAGATCTCCCTTGTGAAGCAACCCAAGCTAGACATTTAGGTTGAATTCCTGGAGAAAGAGGAAAATGGACCATGTGAAGAGACAATCAGGAAGGGGTGGGAGACATGATGCAACAAGTGCCAGAAGCTTGTGTTGAAACTGAAAGGACAAGAGAAAGCAGGGTTCAGCTGAGCTTCCTTGCCTGGGTCAGTCATGTCTACTATGTGGATACTTAGCCAGTGAGGTCTGGAGAACTCCAGCCCAGAGAAGACAGGGCTTCTCTTCCTATGCTAGAACTTCATTGAAACCATCCCATTCCCTTTTGCAGACTAGGTTCCAATCTTGGTTCTGGAGCTGGTAGTTATGAATGTTCCAGGGCAGTTTAATTATCTAAGCTTCTGGATTTTTTTTTTTTTGTCAGTTGTGGGGCTTCCAGATTTTTGAGTGGTTAATTATAGATAAGCACCTCATGGGAATTTTTCTGCCCAGGCTGGCTTCAAACAGTAATCCTCAGATCTCAGCCTCCTGAGTAGCTGGGATTACAGATGGAAGCCAGCACCCAGCTGGTGGTTGTTTTTGTTTTCTTCTTAAAATCAGTATGGTCAACAGAAGTTTGTTGGAAACAGTATATGTCAAATGTTAAATTCTAGGACAATAGAAATTGAACAAAGTTCCTACTCTCAAGGACTGGAACAGCCAGATACTACAAATGCAACAGAGAAAGATTCTGTAGCCCTAGGTAAGTTACACATTGTCGTACATGTACTGATTGCGCTATTGTAACCAAGGTAGATGGATATACTATAATCAAGTATTCGTTTACCCATTGAACATGTTGGGCATTGAGCATTTGTTGCCAATCACTGCTAAATGGCAAGGATAGAATGGGTCCTTTGTGGAGCTCATTATTGGAGAATGAAAACGAGTTGGTAATTATCAGAGTGCCATGAGGAGAGTGGTGGAGACCTCATAAGTGGTAGTTCCATATGGAGAGAGTTTGGGATACTGGTGGGAAAGGAATGGGGGTTGGGGGTAGACGTCAGGGCTGAGTTAAACTCCAGGACTTGCCCCACCAAAAAAAAAAATCCTTGGGGGGAGAGTAAGAGTATGCATCCCTCAGCTGTCTCCAGTGGAGACTATCCGATTCATTATCAGAGACCACAGTTACTGAGAGGGTAACATTTTGCTTTTCCCAAGGTACCTTAGGATCTTTTCTTTTTTCTAGCTTTGCTCATATAATTGTAAAATAATCATTCCATTTGCTAGGTGCTGGTGGCTCACACATGTAATCCTAGCTACTCAGGAGGCTGAGATCTGAGAATTGTGTAAAAGCCAGCTCTGGTAGGAAAGTCCTTGGTGAGTCTTATCTCCAGTTAACCACCATAAAACCAGAAGTGGCACTGTAACTCAAAGTGGTAAATCACTAGCCTTGAGCAAAAGAGCTTCGGGACAGTGCCCAGGCCCTGAGTTCAAGCCCCACAACTGACAAAAAAAAGAAGTCATTCTATTGGATTATCCTTGGATTTCCTACTGGATGTGCCATTTGACTACTGCTGATACCTTGACAGGTACAGTATTTTGGACCAGATCCTCATTGGATTAGGTTACTGAAACATACTTGAGAGGAGGAGCCAGGTAGTATCACTATGAAGTTGATAGGGGTCACTGGTAATCTACAGCATGGCAGGCAGGGCCCAGCATGGAAAACATCCAAGTTATCAACAGTGATGGCTTGGAAGGAGGTGCAAGGCATTGGAAGATCAACACATCACCCTGGGAGGTGTGACTTGGAAAGATCAAGATTGTAAAATGGGTAACAAACTTGAAGGAGGAAGGATTTCTTGGAAATGTGTGGGAACAAATGCATTCATGATTCTCCAAATGTCCACTAGAGGGCAAGCACGGGGCTGGAAAAGATGGTTAGTCCCCAGTCACCCTTTATCTAGCTGCTCCTGGGCTTGTTCAAGAAGTTCATGTTGGGAAGTGGCGCTGTAGCTCAAGTGGTAGAGCGTTCACCTTGAGCTGAAGAGCTGATGGACAGTGCTCAGGCCCAGAGTTCAAGCCCCACGACCGACCAAAAAAAAAAAAGAGTCTCAAGAAGTTCATGTTGGAAGAATCAATCCATGGCTGAGAAAACAGATCAGGTGCAGGAAGAGAAGTCAGGAGCACCTGATGTCCCAGAAAGGAGGAGGAGAGGCAGGAACAAGCATACCTCTCAGTCCCATGCAAAGCAGTCATTTCTCACTGAAGGAGAGATCAGTCACCGGGACACATTCTGAGCAGGCCACCTAACGCCCCAGTCCTTACACCCTGCAACCATGACACAGCCTTCCCTGTGCCTCAGCCTTGCCTCTCACTTAGAGTGGTAGAGTGCTTGCCTAGCATGCATGAAGCCCTGGGTTTGATTCCTCAGTACCACATAAACAGAAAAGGCCAGAAGTGGCGCAGTGGCTCAAGTGGTAGAATGCTAGCCTTGAGTGAAAGAAGCTCAGGGACAGTGCCCAGTGTCTGAGTTCAAGCCTCAGAATTACTGTGTTGCAGCATCCTGGGCTTCTCCAGGAACAAATGTGTCTCTCAGTGCCGCACAAAGCAGCTGTTTCTCACTGTAGGAGAAATTCAGATCAGTCACATCAGGACACACCCTGAGCAGGCCACCTAACACCCCAATTCATAGGACCTACAACCATAACAGTCTTCCCTGTGCCTCAGCCCTGCCCCCCACTTTGGGTCACCAGGTTGTCACCTTTTTCAGCTCTGAGGGAAGCATCAGAACCCTGGTCACTGTCATCTGTGGTGGAAGAGAGGAACTGGTTAGAGAACACAGGCATCACTGGAGGAATTCCGGGGTGCATGAGCTCCCACAGGTCCTGTCTGCACCACAACAAAGGTCACCTCCTCCCCCCATGTAGCCTTATAGCCTTCTCTCTCCTCACCTGTAGGGAGAAACACCAGGTTAGAGGCAGGACACAAGCAGTGCCATGAGGTCATGGAAGAATCCCTAGCCTTGAACATATGAGAAGTTTCCAGAAGTGTGACTAGAACCAGGGAAGCACAGGAGAGAGGAGTGCGACAGTTGGGAAGAGAGACCCCAGGACCTCCTGGAGTGTGAGCTCAGTGGGCAGCTGAGTCCCTGTGGGCCTGAGTGCTGCAATCAGTTCCCATCACCACCCTCAGGAGGGGGAATTTTGTGTCCTTCGTTTTGCAGGGAATTACAGAAGAGGAGCTGTCAGGCTGGGGAAGGCCCTGAGTGTGCTGCAACTTCCCATTAGGAGTGCAGCTCACACTTCTGCCTGGGGCCTGAAACCCACAAGTGGCCCAGGAACTCAGACCTCCACCTTCCTACCTCCAGTCCTCTTCCTCCACAGCACAAAAAGCACCACAGCTACAATAACCAGAACTGCAAAGATGCCCACGCCAATGACAATTCCAGTGGTGGGAATGGTGGGCTGAGCAGGCGGCTCTGGGAAGAGAAGGGAAAGGAGGATGAGCACTGTGAACCCAGCTCTCAGTCCTTACCTGCTGAGAGCTGCACATGCCTCCTGCTGTCTCTGAGCACAGCTGTGCTCTGTGCCCTCAGCCCTGCTTACCCCATGTCAGGCTGAGGGGCTCAGGCAGCCCCTCATGCTGCACATGGCATGTGTATCTCTGCTCCTCCCCAGAAGGCACCACCACGGCTGCCCACTTCTGGAAGCTTCCATCTCCTGCAGGCCTGGTCTCCACCAGCTCCATTTCCTGGGTCTGCTCCTCTCCATCCCGCAGCCAGGTCAGGGTGATCTCCGCAGGGTAGAAGCCCAGCGCCCAGCACCTCAGGGTCATCTTATGTTCAGAGGTGGCGTGGAGGGTGTGTGCCTTTGGGGGATCTGAGAAGAACCCAGAAATTCAGATGCATCTCCTTGCCTCCCATGGACCACCGTGCAGGTCACTTGACCATGCTGAGGATGGACAACACAGCCAGTGCTGGCAGAGACAGTTGATCCGGTCAGGAACTAGGCTTCTGGAATCATCTCCTAAACCTTGCAGAGTGCTAGACTCAGTTGAGATCACCATGACCAGAAGCTCCCCATCCCTGAAGCGTCACTTTACTCTGTCCTGAGTGGAGACTTTCTCCAGGGCTGGGAAGGTGACTCAGTGGTAGAGCGCATGCCTTGCATGCCAGAGGCCCTGGGTTCGACTCCTCAGCACCACATAAGCAAAAAGAAAAAAGCCAGAAGTGGTGCTGTGGCTCAAGTGGTAGAGCGCTAGCCTTGAGCTGAAGAGCTGAGGGACAGCGCCCTGGCCCAGAGTTCAGGCCCCATGACCGGACCCCCTCACCCCCCAAAAAAGAGAGACTTTCTCCAAAAACCTGGAAGAGACTTCTAGCCACACGGGGCCCTGGTTGAGGACAAATGCTGAGAGCTTCCTGGTGCTGCCCAGGGCCACTGCCAGAGTGGAAGGGGCCAGCTGCACACTTGTTTCAGGGACAGTCTTCCCCTCCATGTGGAGGGAGGGAGGAAGGGTGGGAAGGAGAGAGAGGGAGATAGAGACAGAAACAGAGACAGAGAGACAGAAACAGAGAGAAAGTGTGTGTCTTTCACTGTCCTGCGGTCAAGGTGGAGCCCAGAGCTGCTCTCTGACACAGCATGTGAAAGGCAGGGGCTCATGGTCCTCTGGGCAGGGGAAGGGGTGTGGTGGGCTGGGTCCCTTTTCCTCTCTAGCTGTGGGAGTGGAGGGGGACTTCCACAGGAGATGGAGGAGTCCCCCGGGCCCTGGTACCTGTGCGCTGCAGCGTCTCCTTGCCGTGCTCCTGGTACCAATATCTGTTTCCTTTCAGGTCATCCAAATCAGAAAAAGACATACTTCATCCCTACTCCAGTCCAATGCATAGGATAGATAAGTTGGCCTTGGTCCTTGTGTCTGGCAAGAGAATTCCAGCAAGACAGGAACATCATAAATGTCAGAGGAAAGTTTGTTAGAAGAAACACTATGGAAAAGATGGCACCTGCATGTCCTCCCTGCCAAGAGCACCTGCAGCCTAGAGCACAGGGCCAGCCTACTGGAACCATCTGCTCGTCCAGCAGGAAAGGGTGGATGTGTGCATCCCCTGGCTGAAAGCAGGCGCAGAGCACAAACAAGCATGGCACCAACCGGTGTGTGGCCCTCGTCCAGAAATTTAAAAAGCCATCACTTCACCAAAATATTTAGTGTTGGGCCAACGTCCAATGATCAGAACCTACAACCATCAGTGACAGTTCTGATGCAGACCCCAGCGAGACCCAACCGCTCCACAGCCTGAAGAACAGGAAGAAAGAAAACTTGCACCACCCAGCAGAGGCAAATCCAAAGTCTAGCAAAATCCCTGCTTAGGAATCCACTAGTGCTCAAAGAGGTGAGAAGGAGCTAGCCCAAATGACCCTTGCTCCTCATGCTAACTGCATTGCTGACCCAAAAGGAGATGACATTTGTGAATGAATCAGCTATATTGATCCACCAGGTTCTGCATGAGAAGGTGATTTTCCCCCCATCAGATTATCTGCTTAAACCACCAAAGGTTACTTTCCACACCAGAATCTACCACTGCAACAGCAGTCAAGAGCCAGGGAGCGCTCAGACCCAACATCCTTACAAACATATACAGGGTTAGCTGCGTCTTGTTCCCTTCTGACACACTACAACCTTGCAGATCATGTGGTTGGAAGCACAGCCACTCAGTATTTGAGCAACAGAGCAGAATATGACAGGATAGCCAGACAGTGGACACAGAGATACCCCACTGAATTCAAACCATTTGTATGCAGTGTAAAGGAACCATAGTCTTCTTCTCACTCTGCTTCAAATCTTTATACTCTTTACAATGTGGGCTTCTGTGCATATGTTATACTGACTCTACTCTCTGCTTTTATGCTTTGGAGACTGGGAGACTCACTCAAAAGGTAAATGCTATCAAGAGTAGCACTTTGTAGCTGTCGATTAATTATGTTTAAAATGTCTAATTAGCCAGTTCTGGTGGCATTACCCACCAATTGGCTTCAATCTGAGGATAGAGGTTCAAAGCCAGCCAGGCAGGAAAGTCTGTTAGATTCTTATCCCCAATTATCTGCAAGAAAACCAGAAGTAGTACCATGGTTCAGGGTGGTAGAGCAATAGCCTTGAGCAAAAGATCACAGAGACAGTTCTCAGGACCTGTGTTCAAGTTCCTCAACCAACAAAAAATAAAAAAGAAAGTAAGAAAATATCTCTTTGTAGCTGGTTGCTAGTGGCTCATGCCTGGAATCCTAGTGACTCAGGAAATCCTAGTGAGTCTAAGGAACAAGGTTCAGTCTGTGAGACTGGTATCTTCAATTAACTACCAAAAAGTCAGAAGTGGTGCTGTAGCTTAAGTAGTAGAGTACTAGTGTTGTAAGGGAACTCAGGTCAAGAAACACAGAAGCCACCACTTAAGAGGCCCAATTAGGAGTCTTTATTGGAGAGCAGTTAGACTGCTGATAGACTCTTTCTCAAAGACCAGCAGCTACAAATGCAGCTAGCACAAAGCTTATATGACCAGGGGCTGGGAAGGTGGCTCAGTGGTAGAGTACTTGCCTTGCATGCCTGAGGCCCTGGGTTTGATTCCTCAGCACCACATAAGAAAAAAGCTGGAAGTGGCACTGTGGCTCAAGTGGTAGAGCGCTAGCCTTGAGCTGAAGAGCTGAGGGACAGCACCCAGGCCCAGAGTTCGGGCCCCACGACTGGACCAAAAAAAAAAAAAAAAAGCTTATATGACCAAATCCACATGAGTTGTGAGGAATTTATCCTAACAAAAGTAGTGTACAGAAGCAAAGATAACCAGATGAAGACACTTAAACCTAATAAAGCTGTGGAAAAGAAGAAAAGACAATTATTTAAGGGAAGGAAGACTTTCCTGGAGTTTAGCAACTCAGGACACCTGTGTAATCCAAAGGATTTCCTCTATCACCTCTAGAGATTTTCAGAGCTGTGTGGAAAGCCCCTGTGCCCAGCAAGGCACCAAGATGGCTGTAAGGACAAGGCCTATTGCTTCAAGCATATTGCTTGTTCCCAACCTCCTAACTTCACTGGCTTTAAGAGAAAAAACACCTCAGGGACAGCTCCCAGGCCCTGAGTTTAAGTTCAAGACCAGGTCCGTATTCTACTGACAAGTCTTGTTTTTGAGGAGCTATCTATCTATCTATCTATCTATCTAGATGCTGATCCTGGTGCTTAAACTAAGATTTTGAGTGCTGTCTAGAGGTGTTTTTTTTTTTTTTGTCAGTCATGGGGCTTAAACTCTGGGCTTGGGTGCTGTCCCTGAGCTCTTCAGCTCAAGGTGAGCACTCTGCTGCTTGAGCCCATAGAGCCACTTCTGGTTTTCTAGTGGTTTATTGGACATAAGAGTCTCATGGACTTTCCTTCCCGGGCTGGCTTTTTTTAAAGTTTTTTTTTTGTGTGAAAAAACTATACAGGGGGGTTAAATTACATAAGCAGGGTAATGAGTACATTTCTTATCAAGCATTGTTGCCTCCTCCTTTGTTTCCCCTTACCATCCCTGCCCTCCCATCGGCCCATCCCCTATATATGAGTTCCTTTTGTTGCCAGTCCTGGGGATTGAATTTAGAGCCTGGGCACTGTCCCTCAGCTTCTTTTGCTCAAGGTTAGCACTCTATCACTTGATCCACAGTGCCACTTCCAGCTTTTTCTGTTTCTGTGGTACTGAGAAATGGAACCCAGGGCTTCATGCATGCTAGGCAAGCACTCTACCACTAAGTCACATACCCAGCCCCCCCAGGCTGGCTTTGAATCATGATCCTCCTATCTCAGCCTCCTGAGTAGCTGGGATTATATGTATGAGCCACTGGTGCTCGGCCTTATTTTTTATTTTAAGGGTAGCACCCTACAACTTGACCCACAGCTACACTTGGAGCTTTTAGTGGTTAATTAGAGATAAGAATCTCCTGGGCTTTATTGCCCTAGTTGACTTTGAGCCACAATCCTCAGATCTCAACCTCCTGAATAGCTAGGATTACTGGCATGAGCCACTGGGGCTTGGTCTCAATGTATTTTTTGTGATGTACTAAGGACACTTGTCCTCAAGTCTACAAAATGTGTGTGTGTGTGTGTGTGTGTGTGTGTGTGTGTGTGTGTAGCCAGTCCGGGGGACTGGAACTCAGGGCCTGAGCACTGTCCCTGAGTGTCTTTTGCTCAAGGCTAGCACTCTACCACTTGAGCCACAGCACCACATCTAGCTTTTTCTGTGTAGGTGGTACGGAGGAATTAAATCCAGGGCTTCATGCATGCTAGCTCTGCAAGCACTCTACCACTAAGCCACATCCTCAGCCCTATCAAAAAAAACTTTTTTACACATGACAGAGGTTGTATTCTTTTTTTTTTTTTTTTTTTTTGCCAGTCATGGTACCTGAACTCTGGGCCTGGGCACTGTCCCTCAGCTCTTCAGCTCAAGGCTAGTACTCTACCACTTGAGCCACAGCACCACTTCAGATTTTACTGCCCAGGCTGCTTTGAACTATGAACTCACATCTGAGCATCCTCAGTAGTTAGGATTCCAAGTGTGAGCCAGCAGTGCCTAGCCAGTGCATAGTTTTCTTAGTAATCTCAATAAGATATACTTCACATAAAACAACCATTTTAATCCCTCAGCATTAACTAATTCACAGTATTATAAAATAAATCATATCATATTTCACTCAAATGTATCAATATGGCATAAATTGTACTATTTCTTACATTACTATATATTTTCTCGTTCCTGGGGCTTGAACTGAGGGCCTTGGCACTCCCTGATCTTCTTTGGCTCAAGGCTAGGCTAGCAGTCTACACTTGCACCACAGTCCAACTCAGCTTTTTCTTTTTTTTTTTAATTATTCCAAGCAGTCTTATTAAATAAGGTGTATAGAATGAGATATCAAATCAGGAAAGAGAGATGGAGAGAGATGATTCTTTTACATTGAAAACACACCAGCTTTTTCTGAGTATTTTATTGGAGGTCAAAGTCTCATAGCTTTTCTTTTCAGGGCTGCCTTTGAATCACAAACCTCAGATCTGAGCCTCCTGAGTGCCTAGGATGACAGCTGTGAGCCACCAGCCCCTGGCTGATTGTCATGATTATAAAGCTAACTACTCAGGAGGCTGAGTGCAGAGGTATCAAGGTTTGAGACCAGCCTGACCAGAAAATTTGAAGAGACTCTTTCTCAGCAATTACACGAAGATATAATAGGACTCCACGTGAGTGTCAAGGGGGAGAGCACCAGCCTAGCAAGCTGGACACCTGAGTTCCAGCTCCAGAAACAGCGCCCCTCCTTGGCCCGGCCTTCAAAGGGCGACTGGCGCCCTCTAGCGTCCCGGCTCGCGCACAGCCCTGGTTGCCAGCTTTGCAGAGCTGTTGTGGGGCAGATGCCAGCTTCACTTTCACTATGGCCTCTGCTGCCTTCCTCCTCCTCCAGGCCTGCAGGTCGGTTCCTGCTGACTCCAGCCTCCCACGGCCCCGCCCTCGCCTCCCCGCGGAGCAACCCCGCTCCTGTGGCTGCTATGCACTGTGCCTTTCCGCTGCCTCCCGCCCTGCCCGCCCGCAGCTGCTGTCCACACCCCAAGCCAATGCTGCTCCTTGTGGGTTCCAAGCTGCCTGGCTGGCGGCCTTCACTCCAGGCAGCTGGACATGGGGCGGGGACAGACTCCAGCAGGGAAATAAAATCTCTGCCAACACCACAGCACGTTTAGAGGAAGGAAACTTTCAGCGCGGGGCTTGCCAAGGCCTAGCAGGAACCATGCTCCAACAGAACTTAACAGTGCTCCAACAAAGCTCCACTCTGCCTGTGCTCCCGGGCGCGGGGTCCCTGCTTCTGCTTCTGGAGCTGGCGCTGCTGGTGTTGGTGGGGATGGTGGTGGGGGTGGAATTCCGGGGTCTGGCTAGAACATGGGTGAGGGTCATGTGTCCATAGGGCCCATGTGAGGATGAGCAGGTGTCAGGCATGGATTGTTAAGGAAGCAGATCATCATCATCCACCTGCCTTGCTGGGGTAGTCCTGCTTGCTGCCTCTTAAAGCAGTTGTCCGCACAGGCACCACTGAAGCTTTTCTCAGAGTTCTGCCTTCTTTTGCAAAAAATAATGTATCCTGTCATTGCTGGAGTTTTGTTGTTGTTGTTGTTTACACATTCTGGCACTTTTCTTGTTCTATCTGCATGTTAAGCACAGAACTGATCATTAGATTTCCTGTCTCAGCTGCTGCACTCAGGTTGTGCCTTTTCTTCCTGTCTCATTGCTTAAGGATCGGGACGCATTTCCCTAGGGCACAGGAAGGGAATCTCCTTCAGATCAGAGCTGAGTGTAAATGACTGCATTAAGTGAGCCAAACCCTAGAGACTGATGGGGTCATAACATACACTTCCAGAGGGGATGGGATTTGTACCCAGAGCCTAGCACAAGTCCTCTTCCACTGAGCTACATCCACAGCCCTTAGTTAATCACCAAGGCATTGCTGCCTAATACCTGTATTCCTAGCTACTCAGGAAGGTGAGATTTGAGGATTAAAGTTTGAGGCTAATCTGAACAAGAAAGTCTGTGACTATTACCTCCAATTACCTACCAACAAATCCAGAAGTGCAATTGTGCCTCTAGTGGTAGAGTGCTAGCCTTGAGAGAGGGAGAGAAAAAAAACAAGGACAGTGCCCAGGCCCTGAGGTCAAGACACAGAACAGGTACAAAATAGTTTTTTTTTTGTTTGTTTCTTTTAAAATTACTCACTGAAGTGGAACCGGCTGGCCTTGAACTTGCTATGCAGCACATGCTGGCCTCTGATCATATTTCTCCCACCACACTGGCACCAGAAGAATGTGTTTTGCTGAAATGAATGTTGCTAATGTGTTGTGAGTTTGATGATGCTAGAAGTGCAAATTCTGGGTCGACTCTGGGAATGCTGAGACTTATTACTCACCCAGAGCTGGCAAGCATAGGGAAATTCCTTTCCAGAGTAGCCACCCGAGTTTGTATGGACACTGCAAATATGTTTCAGAAGTTCCAACCTATCACAGAGGACATTGTAAAGCCAGAGAAAGTGGGGCTGATGGGGTCAGGGGTCCAGGATAGTGAGAACTAGGGAGACAGCAGGAGAGTGCACTGAGCCCAAGAGACCACAGCTGCTCATGGGTTCCCAGGGGAGAACGAACCACAACCTGACCAGCACAGGGCTGCAGCACAGCAGGGAGCAGCCGGCAGGTGGCAGGCCTGTCCCTGGACACTGGCCCAACTAGATGTGGACAGAGAGGTCTCCTTGATGGAAGGGATTCCCTGCGTTCTGTGCAGTGCAGCCCAGTGGTTGGCAGGCAGAGGACACTTAATCAATGTTAGTTGCTGGAAGGAAGGAGCCGTTTTCTGCATTGCAAAGTGGAGAAAATGACAACCCCAAGCGCTTCTAGCTCTCCTTCCAGTTGCTCAGATTCTTCTCTTGCCTTTCCTTGCACTTCTCAGCATCCCTGAGAACTCTTGTACATTCTGAACTGCTTCAGATTTATTACAGTCTCCGTGTGTGTGTGTGTGTGTGTGTGTGTGTGTGTGTGTGTGTTTGTATGCTGATCCTGAGACTTGAAATCAGGGCCTGTCCCTGAGCCTTTTTACTCTAGGCTACTCCTCTACCACTTGATTCACAAGTTCACTTCCAGCTTTTTGAGGGTTAACTGCAGATAGAGGTCTTTAGGACTTCCCTACCGGGGCTGATGCCAAACCACAATCTTCAGAACTCAACCACGTAGGTAACTAGAATGAGTGATGTGAGCCACCAGCATTTAGCTCAGTCCTGAAAGTTTAGTCCTATCCATAAATTAGATGTCAAGAAAGGCTTTAAATAATTATTTTACCACCGACGGGGCCACTGCACCTATTGAGAGTATAAATTGGAATCAACCACAATGGCATCCAAACCACTTACCTGAGAATAAGTGAAGAGGGATCAGGAATTTGTTACTTGCTGTGTGAATATTCTAGGAAGCACAATGCCGCCTTATACCTCCAAATTGGGATAAGGCCAACAGACCCAAAAACTTAACACAAATTTGAATGGATGAGATAAACTGAGTGTAATACCAGCCATGTACAAAGCAATAGATGCCTGTGCCTCCAAAGGGCTGTATTTACCCAAAGGATTCCAAGCACCAAAGTTGACATCTTCCTGCCTACTCTGCAATTAGGGAGGGGTTGTGTTTGTATGGTTTTAGGGTGTTTTTTTCACCTGTCTTGAGTCTTGAACTCAGAGCTCTTTTGCTCAAGGCTAGTGTTGTAATACTTTGAGGCACAGCAGTCCTTTGGGTTTTCATATGGTTCATTGGAGATGTGTCTCATGGACTTCTCTGCCTGGGTTGACTTTGAATGGCAATTCTTAGATCTCACCCTCCTGAGTGTGTAAGATACTGGGCATGATCCACCAGAGCCAGGCTTCAGCACTTATTTATATGGTTCTACACTGATTAAAAAAAAAAAAAACCGACAACAATAAAGCAGGACTTGGGGTTGTGAAGACTTGTACTTGGCTCAGTGGTAGAGCGCTTGCTTTGTATGCATGAGGCCCTGGGTTGGATTCCTCAGCACCACATAAGCAAAAAGAAAAAAAGCCCGAAGTGGCACTGTGGCTCAATTGGTAGAGTGCTAGCCTTGAGCTGAAGATCTGAGGGACACTCCCCAGGCCCAGAGTTCAGGCCCCAGGTACAGACACCCCCTTCCCCCCCACCCAAAAAAAAGGCTGGACTTATATCGCTATCGTGTGGTCACATTTGAAAACTACAGGCCCGGATAGATTAAACCTATACTTTGGGACATTTGTATGTCTATCCTTTTTTTCTTCTTCATTAAACACCTTCTTGGACTTAAAAAAAAATATATATCAGAGATTGAAAATGTGGCTTAGTGGTAGAATGCTTGCCAACATGCATGAAGCCCTGGCTTTGATTCCCCCAACCACATGGAAAAGGCTGAAAGTGGCAGTATGGATTAAAAGGGTAGAGTTCTAGCTTTGAATAAAGGAAGCTCAGGGACAGTGCCCAGGCCCTGAGTTCAAGACCCAGAACTGACTATATGTGTATATATATATATATATATATATATATATATATATATATATATATATATCTCAACTGAGAGCAAGTAGCTCATGCCAGAAGTGATGTTGTGGCTCAAACTGGTAGAATACAAGCTTTGAGTGATAAAACTCTGGGACAGTGCCCAAGCCCTGAGTTCAAGCCCCAAGAAATGACACAAAAAGAAAATCACTATCAAAGTCAGGTAGTGTGGATACTGCTACACTCCTACCTACTCAGGAGGCAGAGGTCTCCCATTCATGGCTTGAAACCGGCACTGATAGGAAAGTCTGGGGGCTTCTTATTTCCCAAAAGCAGGAAGGGAAGCTGTGGCTCAAACGATACAGTAACCTTGACCTAGAACAACCTGAGGGGCAGCACACAAGCCATGAGTTCAAGCCCCAGGACTAGCACATATACAAAAAAATAAAACCCTCAAGTGAGAATCTTTTCTTCAGGTCTCTTCTCAAAGGCTCAACTCAGGAAATCCCAGATTCCAGGCAGTCCACAGAACACAGGTAAGGACTTTGCACAAGGAGATCTTCCAGTTTACCGACACTTTCTCTAGATATCTTCTTGGAGAATTTCACCACAACTCAGAAAAGTTCCCTCCAGGTCATGATGAACACCTAGTACCACAGTCAGCTCTGTCCCCACGCCCACACCATGTCACCTGCCCTGTAGCACTGCCTTCCTCCTGCATGTCATGGTCCTTCCTTGCTCTCTTACACACTCTGCCACCTGCCTCTTCTGCTAGCACACATGCTGCACAAGCATGACAGTTCTGACATCCTTTGACTTTCTGAGGGATTCCAAATTCAATCTGCAGACCAATGCCAAAGGCCTAAGACCACATTCTTAAGTAGTCAGAGCACAGGCCCTGCTGTGTGGTAGGAGATTCCTGTCTTAATTTCTTTCTGAGAATGAAGCTGAGCAGAAGGGAGTGTTTTGGTCAGGGTTGAAAGGACCAAGTCAGCCTTAGAGGGAAGGCAGGGCACAGCAGGAAGCACAGCGCCTCTCGTGGCAGCAGGAGGCAGAGCAGGGCAGTAACAGGGTGCAGAGAAAACACAATCCCCAAGAACCCACACACAGTGGAGTCCCACTACCACAGTCCACCAGCTTCCAGAACTCTCTTCAGGTTTTCAATTTACCACCTGATGACACTCTCCCTAGGTCAGAGCTCTCATGACCCATTCTCCTTGAAATGCCCTGACACACACATGTGGACATGAACTCCACTAATTTGCAGATCCTCTCAGCCAATCAAGATGGGACCATAATCCGTTCCTGACTCTGCTCTTCAATCCAGGAATTTGGGTGGGAGCAGAGCTGGGGCTAACCAGAGCTGAGAGCAGGTGGAGGGAAGGTGGACAGAGAAGATGCAGAGGATCAGGAAGGGAGCTCACAGGAGAAACCTGACATCCCTCCTCTCTGCTCTTCCCACAGGGGGCTCCCTTGAGGGCACTGGGGACAGCACAGAACCACACTGGAGGCAGCAGTGCTAGGAGGAAAGCAAGCTGCCTCACATTGCCTTTCTCCTCACCACACACACCCTGTGCAAGGCTGCCTGGTGCTTTGGGAGGAAGTGACAGCAACACACCCCTGCTGCTGTCACAGGGACACCCAGAAAGCCAAGAAGACACCAGCTCATGCAGGATGACAAGAAGGGACATAAGTATGATGGTGTCTTAGTAGAGGACTCAGGCCTGAACCTAGTCTCACCTGCACAGTCTGTGCTGTGTCCTAGACAAAGCTAAAGCCCCTCTGATCATAGGTGCTCATGGAGAAGGTTCTAGGCAAACAACACAACTGAGGAGCAGGGAAGACAACCCAGGAGAGGACTGAATACATGACAGTCCAGAATGCACTGAGCTCCTATCCACACCTGCCTGTTCTCAGCCTAACCCTGGCCCCGCCCACAACACAGCTCAGCAAACATGATGATTCTGGAAGTTAATCATGTTTTATTTTCTATCTCAATTTTGGGACTCATTCATTGAATTATTCAGCCTTTTTCCATGACAACAATTGGAAACACAGACCCACATCCACATTCTCTTTATCAGTGGGGTAGCAGCAGCTGCAGCTCAGAGCAAGGGAAAGTGAAGTCAGGGTTGGGGAAGCCCTGGCCCCGCCTCTGCTGGAGCAGCAGCTGGAGGGGAAAGAGACCCAGGTCAGTGTGGGGAGAGTCCTGGTGCTCAGGGCTGGGCTGGCTCCTCAGTTCCTCACAGGAGGCTGACAGCACACAGAAGCCTGGACACAGTCAGGTCCCAGGAACAGGAAGAGAATTCAGGAGCTCATGATGTCCCAGGAGGGAGGAGGAGAGGCAAGAAAAAATACTGTGCCTCTCAGATCACACAAAGCAGCTGTGTTACACTGCAGCAGAAAAGCACAAGCACAACAATGCAGATCAGTCACTGTTAGCCACACACTCTGAGCAGGCCACTAACACCCAATGCATAGACCCTGCAACTACAACACAGCCTTCCCTGGGCCTCAGCCCTGACCCCCATTTAGGGTCTCCAGGTTGTCACCTTTTTCAGCTCTGAGGGAAGCATCAGAACCCTGGTCACTGTCGTCTCCTGTGGTGGAAAAGAGGAACTGGTTAGAGAACACAGGCATCACTGGAGGAATTCCGGGGTGCATGAGCTCCCACAGGTCCTGTCTGTACCACAACAAAGGTCACCTCCTCCCCCATGGCACTCACTTGCAGCCTTATCATAGCCTTCTCTCTTGTCACCTGTAGGAGAAACACCATGTGAGAGGCAGGACACAAGCAGTGCCATGAGAGCTTGGATGAACCCCTAGCCTTGACCTCATGGGAAGTTTCTAGAAATGTGACCATAGAACCAAGGAAGCATCAGGAGAGAGGAGTCCAACCCTTGGGAAGAGAGACCCCAGGACCTCCTGGAGTGTGAGCTCAGTGGGCAGCTGAGTCCCTGTGGGCCTGAGTGCTGCAATCAGTTCCCATCACCACCCTCAGGAGGGGGAATTTTGTGTCCTTCGTTTTGCAGGTGATTTACAGAAGAGGAGCTGTCAGGCTGGGGAAGGCCCTGAGTGTGCTTCAACTTCCCATTAGGAGTGCAGCTCACACTTCTGCCTGGGGCCTGAAACCCACAAGTAGCCCAGGAACTCAGACCTCCACCTTCCTACCTCCAGTCCTCTTCCTCCACAGCACAAAAACCACCACAGCTACAATAACCAGAACTGCAAAGATGCCCACACCAATGAAAATTCTAGTCTTGGGACTGGTGGGCCAAGTAGACGGCTCTGGGAAGAGAAGGGAAAGGAGGATGAGGGCTGTGAACCCAGCTCTCAGTCCTTACCTGCTGAGAGCTGCACATGCCTCCTGCTGTCTCTGAGCACAGCTTGGCTCTGTGCCCTCAGCCCTGCTTACCCCATGTCAGGCTGAGGGGCTCAGGCAGCCCCTCATGCTGCACATGGCATGTGTATCTCTGCTCCTCCCCAGAAGGCACCACCACAGCTGCCCACTTCTGGAAGCTTCCATCTCCTGCAGGCCTGGTCTCCACCAGCTCCATTTCCTGGGTCTGCTCCTCTCCATCCCGCAGCCAGGTCAGGGTGATCTCCGCAGGGTAGAAGCCCAGCGCCCAGCACCTCAGGGTCATCTTATGCTCAGAGGTGGGGTGGAGGGTGATGTGTGCCTTTGGGGGATCTGAGAAGAACCCAGAAATTCAGATGCATCTCCTTGCCTCCCATGGACCACCGTGCAGGTCACTTGACCATGCTGAGGATACGCAGCACAGTGAGTGGGGGCAGGGATGGATGATCCAGGCTGGAACTCGGCTTCTGGAATCATCTCCTAAACCTTGCAGAGTCCTAGACTCAGTTGAGATCTCCATGGCCAGAAGCCACAGATCTCTCAAGAGTTACTTTCTCTGTCATGGGTGTAGATAAGAGAGACTTTCTCCAGAAACGTGGATGAGACTTCTAGCCACAGGGGGTCCTGGTTGAGGACAAATGCTGAGAGCCTCCTGGTGCTGCCCATGGCCACTGCCAGAGTGGAAGGGGCCAGCTGCACACTTGTTTCAGGGACAGTCTTCCCCTCCATGCGTGGAGAGAGAGAGAGAGAGAAAGAAAGAGAGAGAGACAGACAGACAGACAGAGAGACAGAGAGACAGAGAGACAGAGACAGAGACAGAGACAGAGAGACACAGAGAAAGACACAGAGAGAGAGAGATAGTAAGTGTCTTTCACTGTCGTGAGGTCAAGGTGGATTCCAGAGCCACTGTGTGACACAGCATGTGAAAGGCAGGGGCTCATGGTCCTCTGAGCAGGGGAAGGGATGTGGCGGGCTGGGTCCCTTTTCCTCTCTGGCTGTGGGAGTGGAGGGGGACTTCCACAGGAGATGGAGGAGTCCCGGGCCCTGGTACCTGTGCGCTGCAGCGTCTCCTTGCCGCGCTCCAGGTATCTGCGCAGCCACTCCACGCACCTGCCCTCCAGGTAGGCCCTCCAGTGTTCCGCATCACCGGCCTCCTCCCACTTGCTCCTGGTGATCTGAGCCGCCATGTCGGCCGCGGTCCAGGAGCTCAAGTCCTCGTTCAGGGCGATGTAGTCCTGGCCATCGTAGGCGTGCTGACAGTACCCGCGGAGGAGACGGCCATCTGCGCTCACGTCGCAGCCACTCATTCTCTGTAAGGTGTGAGAAGCTGCCCCGCCCCCACGGTCAGCCCGCGCCCCGCGGGGACTTTGGCCTACACGGAGAGGACACCGGCCCCACCCCGCGGCTCTTTCCCGGGGTGCCGGTCCCCCCGCAGCGCCCGCAGCCTGGCTGAACCTCATTCCTGAGACCCCGGGGGCTCGGGCTGGTCAGCGGGAGGCGGGGAGGGGTCGTGACCTCCGACTCGGCGGCGTCGCTCACCGTCCGCGCTCTGGTTGTAGTAGCCGAGCAGCGTCTGCAGGTTCACTCGGTTCGTCTGTGCGTGGTCCTTTTGGATCCGCGTCTCCCGCTCCCAGTACTCGGGCGGCTCCCGCTCCACCCACGGCGCCCGCGGCTCCATCCTGGGGTTCGCGGCGTCGCTGTCGAAGCGCACGAACTGCGCGTCGTCCACGTAGCCGACGGCGATGTAGCGGGGCTCCCCGAGGCCGGGCCGGGACACGGCGGTGTGGAAATACCGCAGGGAGTGGGGGCCTGCGGGCGGGCGCGGGTGAGAGCCGGGAGCGCGGCGGGAGCGGAGAAGGGGTTCGGCACGCGGGAGACGCAAAGGGGGTGCGAATGACCCCGGCGGCGCCCAGCGAGGGCACCGAGGACGGGTCAGGCGGAGGGGACGGGGACGCGGCTGCCCGGGCCCTGCCCCCCGACGGCGCCTCACCCCACCGCCACCCCTCGCTCTACCCTGCGGACTCGTGTCTCCCGCGGGCCCCAGACTCACCCGCCCAGGTCCCGGTCAGCGCCAGCACCCACGACAGCAGCCGCAGGACGGATCCGGGCGCCATGAGCCCAGCCCCAGAATCCGGGGAGACTCTGAGTGCCGGTAGCTCCGCGGGGGACTTTAGAACCCGGAACCCCAGTGACACTGATTGGCTTCTCTAGAACCCGACAGCCAATAGAAGCGAGTTCTGGCTCCGCATCACCAGTGTCCGGGCAGAAGCGGCCAACACTGTTGGAGAAGAAGTGAAACTGGGGAGCCCGGGAATCCCCAGTGCTGAGCTTCCCCACCCAGAGCAGCTCTGGCTCTGAGACGCTGAGATCTAGGACCGGACACCTGGGACTTTGTCCTGGTCCCTGTCCCCCGCACCAGCACTCTGTCCCAGCTACTTCTGGCTTTTGCCTGACGGCCAAGTCTAAGATTCTCAGAGAGTTTGCTTCTAAGATCTCTGCACACATTCATTTCGACCCCAAAGGTATTTGTATCATGTGGGTTCTGTCACTATTCACTGTTAGGACTGGGAATGTGCTTAGTAGTAGAGTACTTGCCTCACATGTTTGAAACTGGGGATTCATTTCTCAGCACCACATATACAAGAATGCCAGAGGTGGTGCTGTAGCTCAAGTGTTACAGTGCTAACAACCTTGAGGAAAAGAAGCTCAGGGACAGTGCCCAGGACCTGAATTCAAGGCCCAGAACTAGCCAAAAAATAATAATAATAACTTCTAGATATGAAACCTCTAAACCTAATGGCTCATGTCCTTTTTCCTAGCTACTTGGGAATGAAAGATATGAGGATAGAGGTTCAAAGCCAGCCAGGGCAGGAAAGTCCCTGAGACTCATATCTCCAATTAACTACCAGAAACTCAGAAGTGGTGCTGGGTTCTAAGTGCTGGAGTGCTAGCTTTGAGTATACAAGCTCAGGGAGAGCATCCAGGTCTGAGCTCAATCCCCCTTGACCAAAACAACAAGAGGCCTTCACAGTACTTGACTTGGGGCTGGGATTGTAGATTAGGGGGAGAGAGCTTGCCTAGCATGCATGAAGCCCTTGGTTCAATTTCTCAGCACTACATAAAAAGCCAGAAGTGGCACTATGGATCAAGTAGTAGAATGCTAACCTTGAGCAAAAAGAAGTTCAGGGACAGAATCCATCCCATCTCAGCCATACTGCACCATCTTCAGGATTACAAAGATTGTGGCCTTGGTGTTGAATAGGGAGTACTGGTCTTGTTTTGTTTTGTTTTCTGTTTTGGTTGGTTGTGGTGCTTGAACTGTGGGCCTGAGTGCTGTCTCTGAGCTCTTCAGCTCAAGGCAAGCACTCTATGACTTGAGCCATAGCTTCATTTCCGGTTTTCTGGTGGTTAATTGGAGAAAACAGTCTCAGGGACTTTCCTGCCCAGGCTGGCCTTGAACCATGATCTTCCAACCTTGCCTCCTTAGTAGCTAGGATTACAGATGTGAGCCACTGGTCCCAATTTTTTTTTTCTTTGCTAGACCTGAGGCTTGAATTCAGGGCTTGGGCTCTGTCCCTGAGCCTCTTTTTTTACTCAAGGCTAGCACTCTACCACTTCAGCCACAGTGCCATTTCTGGCTTTTTCTGATTATGTGGTACTGTATTGAACCAAGGCTTCATGCAAGCACCCTACCACTAAGCAACATTCAAAGCCCCAAACTTTTTTTTAATATTAAAATACCTACCAAGGGGCTGGGAAGGTAGCTCAGTGGTAGAGTGCTTGCCTTGCACGCCTGAGGCCCTGGGTTCGATTCCTCAGCACCACATAAGCAAAAAGAAAAAAACTGGAAGTGGCGCTGTGGCTCAAGTGGTAGAGCACTAGCCTTGAGCTGAAGAGCTGAGGGACAGCTCCCAGGCCCAGAGTTCAGACCCCACGACTGGACCCAAAAAAATAAATAAATAAATAAAGTACCTACCAATAAACCTAACCAGAAGAATAAAGACCTCTACCATGAAACTTACACAACACCAAAGAAATTGATAGTACAGACCTCCCATGTTCATGAATGGGCAGAGTTAAAACTGTTGAGCTGCATGGAATGTGTGGGTTTTTAGGAAGAGAAGGGCAGGAAGTGGCGCTGTGACACAAAATGATAGAGTGCTAGCCTTGAGTACAAAAGCTCAGAGACAGCGTCCAGACCGTCAGTTCAAGTCCAGGACAACCTCCAGCCATCAAAATGGGGGGGAAAAAGAATGAAAGTAAGAAAAGAAAAGAAAGGAAAAAAAAAGGAAGAGAAGGAAAAGGAACCCGTTGGAATCAGCCTGTGTGAATCCTCTGTAGCTGTCAGGGTTAAGGAGCCTTTAGTTGGCTGCTCTTTGACCCTGAGGCAAGTAGGGTCTCAGCAATTGAATCAGGTGGGTTGGATAATTTGCATACCAAAGGTGCTCACTGGAGATTGTATTACTTTCTTTTTTTCTTTCTTTTTCTTTTTCTTTTTGTCCTTGTGGGGCTTGAACTCTGGGCTTTGGCACTGTCCCTCAGCTCTTCAGCTCAAGGCTAGCGCTCTACCATTTGAGCTACAGCGCCACTTAGGGTTAACTAGTGGTTTTTTTCACGATAAGAGTTTCTCCAACTTTCTTGCCCAGGCTGGCTTTGAACCGTGATCCTCAGATCTCAGCCTCAGGAGTAGCTAGGATTACAGCCGTGAGCCACTGGTGCCCGGCTGTTCTTTTGGTTGCTAAACATGGGAGGAATATTTCTTGCTTAGTTTGCTAGGTTCTGAAGTCAAACTATCAGTGCAGTTAAAGCACTCTAACCCAAACATTTCAAGGTTAGCTTGGTGCAGGCCAGGCCTCTGGGAGGGCAGGGGTCTAGTCCCTGCACTTCCTTGTTCCACATTGCTTATATTACACTCCTCCCCCTCCCACCCCTAGCCAGGAATGTGTCAGTAAGAAGCCCAGGCTGGCTTAGAAGTCATTCCTCCTGCCTCCACCTCCCCAGTGCTGGGATTACAGGCATGTGTCATCACACCTGCTGGCCCACACTGCTTCAGGATCTGCCCTGAGTCTGGGTGGAAGTTCTGCCAGGCCCAGAGCCAGCTAAGTAATGCTGACCCTGCTTCCATGCTGACATCTCACAGCATGATGTCTACTCAAGGCTGCAAAGGCTGACACATTTCACTAAAACAGGAGGTGAGCAGGAGATCTTGTACTTATCTCTATCCCTCTGTCACTGTCTCTTTTTCTTTCTGTGTCTCTCTCTCCCTCTTCTCTCCTCTCTCCATCTGTCTGGAACCTAGGGCTTCTTACAAACTGAGCTTGCTTGCCTAGCTGGCACTCTTCCACTAGAGCCACAAGTTGAGCCCAGCCATTTTACTGAACTATGATCCTCACATCTCAGCCTCCTCAGTAGCTAGGATTACAAGAGTGAGCCAGCAGTGCCTAGCCAGTGCATAGTTTTCTTAGTAAGCTCAGTAAGACATACTTCACATAAAACAACCATTTTAATCCCTCAGCATTAACTAATTCACAGTATTATAAAATAAATCATATTATATTTCATTTAAAAGGTATTAATATAATGTAAATTGTACTATTTCATTTACATTACTGTATATTTTCTCCTTCCTGAGTCTTGAACTGAGGGCCTTGGCACTGTCCCTGAGCTTCTTTGGCTCAAGGTTAGGTTAGCAGTCTACACTTACACCAAAGTCCACTTCAGCTTCTTCTAGTACTTTATTTGAGATAAGAGTCTCATAGACTTTCTTTTCAGGGCTGGCTTTGAATCACAAACCTCAGATCTGAACCTCCTGAGTGCCTAGGATGACAGCTGTGAGCCACCAGCCCCTGGCTGATTGTCATGATTATAAAGCTAACTACTCAGCAGGCTGAGTGCAGAAATATCAAGGCTTGAGACCAGCCTGGCCAGAAAAATTGAAGAGACTCTTTCTCAGAAAGTACCTGAAGGGGCTGGGAAGGTGGCTCAGTGGTAGAGCGCTTGCCTCGCATGCATGAGGCCCTGAGTTTGATTCCTCAGCACCAAATAAGCAAAAAGAAAAAATCTGGAAGTGGTGCTGTGGCTCAAGTGCTAGAGTGCTAGCCTTGAGCTGAAAAGCTCAGGGACAGCGCCCAGGCCCAGAGTTCAGCCCCCACGACAGGATCCCCCCCCCCAAAAAATGTAAAAACTTACATGAAGATTTAATAGGACTCCACGTGAGTGTCAAAGGGGAGAGCACCAGCCTAGCAAGCTGGACACCTGAGTTCCAGCTCCAGAAACAGCGCCCCTCCGCGCCCGGCCTTCAAAGGGCGGCTGGCGCCATCTAGCGTCGGGGCTCCCGCACAGCCCTGGTTGCCAGCTTTGCAGCGCTGTTGAGAGGCAGATGCCAGCTTCACTTTCACTTTGGCCGCTGCCGCCTTCCTCCTCCTCCAGGCCTGCAGGTCGGTTCCCGCTGACTCCAGCAGCCCACCGCCCCCGCCCTCGCCTTCCTGCCGAGCAAGCCCGCTCCTGTGGCTGCGATGCGCTGTGCCGTCCCCTCTGCCTCCTGCCCCGCCCGCAGCTGCTGTCCACACCCCAAGCCAATGCTGCTCCTTGTGGGTTCCAAGCTGCCTGGCTGGCGGCCTTCACTCCAGGCAGCTGGACATGGGGCGGGGACGGACTCCAGCAGGGAAGGAAAATCTCTGCCAACACCACAGCTCGTTTAGAGGAAGGAAACTTTCAGCTTGGGGCTTGCCAAGGCCTAGCAGGAACCATGCTCCAACAGACCTTAACAGTGCTCCAACAAAGCTCCACTCTGCCTGTGCTCCTGGGCGCGGTGTCCCTGCTTCTGCTTCTGGAGCTGGCGCTGCTGGTGTTGGTGGGGATGGTGGGGGGGGGTGGAATTTTGGGGTCTGCTAGAACATGGGTGAGGGTCATGTGTCCATAGGGCCCATGTGAAGATGAGCAGGTGTCAGGCATAGCTTGTTAAGGAAGCAGATCATCATCATCCACCTGCCTTGCTGGGGTAGTCCTGCTTGCTGCCTCTTAAAGCAGCACTGAAGCTGTTCTCAGAGTTCTGCCTTTTTTTGCAAAAAATAATGTATCCTGTCATTGCTGGGGTTTTTTGTTTTTTTTTTTTGTTGTTGTTGTTTACGCATTCTGGCACTTTTCTTGTTCTCTCTGCATGTTAAGCACAGAACAT